AGGGGCTAAGACAAAAAACAATGGTTTTAAACTGCAGCAAGGGAAATTTAGCTTAGATGTTAGGAAGAATTTTTTTAATATGAGGGCGCATAAACACTGGAACAGGTTACCTAGAAAGGTTGGAAGTTTTCAAGAGCAGGTTAGGTAAACACTCGACTTGAATGGTTTAGATTGGGATGATCCTGTCTTGAGCAGGGGATTGGATTAGATGACCTCCTGAGGTCCCATCCAGCCATACTTTTAGAACATCATTACTTATGTTGCACTGTAATTCTGTTACTTGTTTTAAATATAGAGATTCACAAAAATTATAGCCACATGCTTATGCTAAAGGAAGAAGATACACATCATTTTTAGCTCCTCATATGAATATCTGTCTCATGATATTTTAAGTCTGTGTCCCAGGGTAGGTATGATAACAGTATACAATTTATTGCCTTTAGGATAAAGATAATGTGCTGAACCTTTCCCTTTAAAGCAACGCTTTCAGCTGCAGAACCAAAATTACCAAATTTGCATGATGCCATCTCCTTGGCTTTTCATCTAGCCATATCAATCAGCTTCACTGGTATATTTGCTCACTCTGTTGATTTCTTTGTGCTTTTCTAGTTAGCAAGATTCTTTAATAGTTTCTCTCCATGCATACACTTTGCTAGAAGAGCAGACTGTACTCTTCCTACTGAAGCCTGCTCAGGAGTGACTACTTAATTTGTTTTTAATCCAATACACTTTAAACCTAAAATGTTGTCATATGATTAGCGCTATTGTTACCATTTGTACTCAATGCAGTAACAATAGGCATGGTATTAAGACTTATTACTGAGAGAGATTTTATGACAGTTACTTTGTAAATTATGTCTACTGTGATTCACGCTTCTGCTAGTGTTTTGCCAAGGGGCAGTGTACAGAGCAATATTATACACTGCAAAAGTTATTTTGTGATAAGAAAATAGATGGTTCTGTCTTAAATTATTTCCTACCTAGGATCCTACTGAGCCAAGGAAAGTATAATAAATCTAAACAAATAACACCCGCAAAACCGGGTATTTTCCAATCACCCCAACATGTGGGAATGTTTGCTTGTTTTATTTTAAATGCTGCTGTGCATTAACCCAGTTTCTTAAGGAATTATTTTTAATAAAAAAATCTTAAGAAACCTGAAGGGGTCACCAGAGAAAAGCATGGTGCTTCTATCACCTTTTATAGATATCCTCTAGCCATTTTTCATCATCTTCCTCCTCTTCATCTATTGGTTCTTCAGTTTCCAGAGGAGAAGGAATAAAAAATTCTGGTCTGGGATGTGGCTTATTGACATGAGATTTAAGTCCAAACTTGCGCTTTAGCAGGTGGAACTGCTCTTTGACATAGTAGTAAAATTCGTATTCATATCTCATGCGCTGGTAGAGAATCTGGAGGGCTTCTGGAGAAGGGATGGCCTTTTTCACTGTCACAGTCAGATTGCCAAGTTTCCTATGTTCTGTAAAAGGAAAAAAAAATCGAGATCTCATTCACTGCTATAACCAAATATCACATTCTTCTTTAGAAGTACAACTATATAAACATGCCTGACTTAGAAAAATTTGTCTAAAGTGTTAAAAGAGTAAGCAGTCAATTTTCATTTGAGTTCAATAGGGTAATCATTTTCCAGAGAGTACTTTAGGTATTTCTCTGTCAGCTGTAAACATTAATGATGGAGACACATCTTACCAAAATAGCTACACCTAGTATTTTAAAATGGTACAAAATATTTTGCTCTTTCTTCTTTTAATTTAGATGGAGACATTAGACAGGAGGGGGAATCAGTATTGGGATATGCAGCCAGAATCCTGTCTATCATTAAGTACGAGTCTAGCCCAGGTTAGTATCAAAGGGCACATCTACACAAGATACTTAATACACAGAAGACCAGTTCTACTGAGCATTAGCATGGAGGGCAAGACACATGCTAGTGAGCAAATGCGCATTAGATTTAATCTAATGTGCATTAACATCACTAAAAAAGTGTTCATTTGTGCTAATGTGCCATAGCGCCAATTACTGTGCATTAAGTTAGTACCCGTCATTACAGGTACTAAACTTAATGTGCTGTAATTATGGTGCATTAATGAACATGTAGATGTGCCCAAAGACTAGTTTTTTCACCTGATGGCTGCCTGCTTGCCTGTGTGAAATGAGTTTGCTCAGTTTCAGCCTAGCTTCTAGTGGAAAGCTTCAATAGATATATTAAGGGTTAAATGTAAATATTCTCACCCTTACAGTTGTCCCTTCATGGATATGGCAGCCGAGGGGGACTGTCCGATTAATCTTACCATCTAACTATTTCTGCTGTCAATGCTCTGTATCAAGAGTATTTCGGTCTCACTTTCTATTCACCTGATCTTTTCTGCAGGATCTAAATTCACAAAACCTACCTCAACACCTGATAAAGCAATGTCTTAACAGGATCTCTGAGCTGGCTTCTCACTCTCAAGATTTAGTTTTACTTCAGAGTAGGAGACCAAAGATATATGTTTAACCTGGTGTATATGCCTTTGTATACTGAAGTAAATGACATTGGGATAAAAAATCCAGAATCCAGATCTCCTGGGTAGTTAGCACAGTGACTCACTGCTAGAAGATGGGGGAACATGTAAGAGCTTATTTGCTGTAACAAATGACTACCCCTGGATGGATGTGGATGGAAGAAACTTAAGCCAGTATAATTTATACTGGTAACATTTTACCCTTGATTCTTTCATGGGTAATTCTCCATTAGATTATCTTAATTGGGTCTGTGTCAGCTATCCTCTACTATTTTGCATGATTATGCTAGTATAAATGTTACATCTGCACATGCCAAATCGCATCCAAAACTCGGCCTTGGTTAGAACAAGGACATGTTTTCTTTAAGTGTTAGCTCTGTTTCCCAGGTTCTACTAGATGGAAAAAACACCAAGAGACAGGGTTTCATAACTTCACCATTTTTTTCATTTTTAGGATTGAAAAGTTACTACAGGTCAATATGAAGAGAAAGGGAATGGCAAGAGCACTATAAATACTGCATGAAACATAAGTTTCACATTTCAGCATTTATGATATCCATGATTTATAACAACACAAAGTAAGGTCACAGGTATATATGGGACAGGTATATATGGGACAGGTAAATTTGGATCTAAAATGAGGACCATATTTTATAAAAAAAGACATTGAACTGAAAGTCAGAGGCTGGTAACCTAAAAATAAAACAAGGAACTCCAATTTTATTCCCATTAACTCACCCACTGATCTTGACATATAAGATGGTTCTGAAATGCCAAGTATGGCTGTTCATAAATCAGCAATAAATCCTCATAAGCAGAAAATACAATAATTTTATTCTTCTCTAGGCTTGTCCTCTTTATGATCAAAGTTACTTCTGTACTGTAAAAGATCTGGAGTATACCATACCCACATTTATATAAAAGATCTATTGGAATATTTTCTCTAAGAGACTAAGTCAAATTATGTGATCTCACCTAAATTTATGTATTGCCTTTCTATCTAAACTATTGTGAAGACCTCTACTAGCCGGCAAATAACACACATCACTCACTGAATTTCTTGGTACACTAGTTATTGGAGTGGCACCAGAAAATACCCATGTTCAAAACACTGGACTTCATTTTTATCCTTTCAGTTCATCTTTTTTGAATAATAAGATTTACAGGCTCTCTGTTTCAGGATATCTGTTCCTACTGCTTATTCCTTCCCTGAAATTATTACCCTCTGTGTATGCCATTCTAGTTTCCAGTAAGAAATTCAGAAGTTCTGTACAACTTTATTCATCAACTGCCACAGTGAAGGGCAACTTGATACTGCGGTTAAGGTATCCACCTTTCTCTGACTGGTACAGACTGGTACTGGTATCAGTACAGGTCTGAAGCCATCCAAAAGGCCACACCAGTGGACTGTGATGAAGAACAAACTTCCAGTAAGAAGGAAACGGTCAACACAGAGTGCCTTGGAACATGACACTGCTGCATTTCTTGGCACTGGGCAACAGGAAGGTCAATTTAAATTGCTCACTGAGAAAAAATATTGAAAGTCACCACTCCTTGGGCAAAGCAGCCACAAAACAAAACAGATTTGTAGATTGATGCAAGACTACCATGGACAGCTCAACACAGCGGCATAATATAATTTAAAGGTTACTTTTTGGTCTATACAGTGTTCTATCAAAGGAACCACTGCAGTTTACAGAGAAAGGCCTCAATTTGAATTTACAAGTTTTGATCATGTGAGCAGTCCAACTGAAACCTGTAGACTATTCATATTAACAAAGCTAAGTACTGTATGTGTTTAAATGCTTGTCTTAAATCACAGAAAAACATTTAAAGAATTTTTTTATGAATGTTTACAGAATGGACCAATGACTCTAAAGACAGAATTCCTAGAAGGACTAAAACAGGTGTTTGGACTTCAGTCGTTTAATAGTTTCATAGTTTCACAGTTTCTAGGGTCAGAAGGGACCTGAACAGATGATCTAGTCTCACCCCCTGCCATGGCAGGAAAGATTACTGGGGCCAAATGACCCCGGCAAGGTGTTCATCTCACCTCCTCTTAAAGACCCCCACGGTAGGAGCCAGCACCACTTCTCTTGGAAGTTGGTTCCAGATCCTAGCCATCCTGAC